CCCCAAAACCCCAAAACCCCAAAACCCCAAAACCCCTAAAAATCATAAAAATATTGATAAAAGAATGTCAGATCCAAAAGAGGATGCTTCTCTTAATTCAGACTCTCACTCAGAGCCCGTCTCCCATGGAGAAGAGGAGGATGGGCCTTCCCATCCAGGTATTGATGAAGGAGCTATCCAGAACAAAATTAAAAAACACCAAGAGCGAGCACAGTAAGAACTCCTATTGCAGAGAAATTATACATAGGCAAAAATAATGAACGAATTCAACAGTTGAAGATCGAAAGTGAGGCATTGAAGGAAGAAAATGCTCAGCTTAAAGGTAAATAGAATGAGACTTGAAGACACTGACACAGGATGGGATCCCTCTCAGTCTTTTTCAATAGATTTGGACAAACCCTTCGAGTATTTTGATTTATTAATATTCCTTGTATGAGCCCTTTTATATATGTCAAGCTCTTTGTTCAAAATACCAATCGAACTGGCTTAGATTCCTTTAGAACAACTTGAACAAAAGGAGAAAGAGTGTGTTAAAGGTAGTTGCCTGCTTTTATTCATAGAAAAGGAGAATTCACAAAGACTACAAGCATTGTGTAATAACCAAAAGACAATCATTGAAGAACTCAAGGTGAGTTATTTCCTAAACTTTTAGAAACGTAAGTATCAATAACATCTTCAGAGATCAAAGGAGCGCATGAAAGAAATGTCAGTGAGACTGATAACTCAATGGATTACTGTAAGGCTCTTCATCATAATCTATCTAGCTCAGAGGCACATCTCCACATTCGCGAATGAACCCACTGAAGGTATTTCCCTGCCTCATTGTATAGCTTCTCAGAACGGTATATATCTAAAATTTACAAAGTTCCTTAACAAATTATAGAGTCTCTCGGACTGAAGCAAGACCTTGAGAAGCTCACCAGCGAGAACACCTGTCTTAAAGAATTGATCAAGAAGGAACAGGATGAGAAGATCAGGCAGTTCAAGGACTCAATGGAGCTAGCCATCAGGATCCAGTCCTTTGAGGAAGAAGTCGCAAAAAGTCAGCAAGAGAGATACCAACTTGCTCTGGATCTTGACAAGATTAGCGGGAAAATGAAAGATTTATACGCCAAGATTAAGGAATCTGATGAGATTTGCAACACTTGTGTCAGCTTTTTAGAGAAGAATGGACTCATACAGACCAGCTTTATTTCTGATGATGGAGTCTTATGGTAATTCAACCATACAGGAAGAATGTGGGGTTTTGGGGTTTTGGGGTTTTGGGGTTTTGGGG